CCGGGTTAGGGGGGTGAATAGACAGAGGTGGAGATCCGGGTGAGCGCCAGGTAGGTTCAGGCCTTTGGCGGGTGGCCAGATAGGTTTTGCGGGGTTTGGGTGGTGCCAGATGTTGACGTGTACGGGGGAAAAGTGTTTGTTTGTGGAGTTTGACTACAGTGTGTGAGCAGAAAGTCTTCTTGACCTGTCCGACAGCTCTGGTCCTCACGGAGGCCCAGTTGCGGCATGCTCCGGAGGGTCCGGCGGCGGGGCGTGGCTGGCCCCTGTTTAGGAGGTTAAGTAGGAGCGTGCACGGGGACACAACTGGATCAGAGGGGGGTCGTTGCTGGTCTGCACAGATGGCGTGGTGCGTGCGTGTGTTCGTGCGCGTGTGTTATGATAGGGTTGGATGATGCCCTGGTCACATGGGCAGCAGTAATTGGCCTCCATATTGACCAGTTTGCAGCGCTGGGGGGCGGGCAGTCTCCCAGCTGGACCTGTCAGATGGCATCGCATCCACCTCACTGATCACCCCCCGGACGACCTCCGCACCTCTCCCTTTTCCTTTCATCTCTCCTTTCTCCTTCATCCCTTCATCTCGCCTTCTCTCCGTCACCTTTAATCTTCCGTTGCCCGCCTCTTCAGCCATCACAGGGATGACCTGCTCCGTCCGTCACCGCCGCTGTCTACTTTTTACAGCTCCTCCAAACTTAAACCAAGGAGTCTGTACTTGTACTACTGAGTATTAGCCTAGAACAAACTCGAACAAGACTTGTGTTTTCTATGTTTTGGTAATCAGCGTTTGTTGATCAGGATGGGAACACTGTTTAGTGTTAGTTAGTTTAATTAGTTTTTATGGATGAAAAAAATGAACCATGACCTTGAACAAAGCCAGAACGTTTACCAGTGAGCTGAAATTATTATTTACATTTTTTACCAAGTCTTGAGGAATTTTCTTGAAACTATTTCTTTTGATGTACCTGCTGCTGGTGTTACACTGATTGACAATCATTGCTGGTGACAGGTTCAATCTTTTTTCCCTGTATGTGTTAAACATAGAAAATGAAAACACTTTAAACAGTAGTTTGATGGATGTTGGGAGATAAACTCTTTTGGGTCTTGCTGTATTGAAACATTGCAACATTATCTTGAAATCATATATTGGCCATCTTGAAACAAGATCATTCCAGTAGCATCAAGAAAATGTCATTTTATTTCAGGACAATTATGAAAAAAGGATTTGCTTTGAATTAGCTGACTCAATTGGTGCACTTATTTAAAGGCAAACAAACATTTTAAGTCTGAAACAGGACTTCTTGACTTGCTAAAATAGATTTTTTGCAGTGTTGTGTAAAACAGACCTTTGTGTGTCTGACTGACTTTTAGCGTGGTATCACCCTCCCACCCGGAGCAGTAATGGTGTATGTTTTGCTGTGAGATGCCCGACTGTGAGGAGTTAGCGCTATAGAAGGGATTTCATCCCAGACTTGGCAGGGGAGGGTCTCTGGGTACGTAGAGAACAATTGTCTTTCCTTCGGTCCTGTCAGCCAGCAAACACAGAGAGCTGGCACACGCTCAGTGGGAAAAGAGCGGGAGTGACAAGGGGGATGGACACACACATACACACACACACACACATACACACACACTCACACGCACACACACTCACACACTACCGTGCACTTATGCCCATCCCTTCCTCACAGTAGCAAAATGGGTTCTGATGATGCCGCTGGGGATTGTGGGATGACAGGCTGGTTCTGCGAAGTGGATGGGAGGACCTGATGAAAATAGTCTGTAAAATGACCACAGTGTTAGCCTGCTGTCAGACTAACAGACAGAACGACAAAGAGGGAGGGAGGGAGGAGAAAGAGGGAAGTAGAGACAGATAAATAGAGGAAGAGATTGGCAGAGCAACACAATGTCTACCATGCATGCTCCTCTGCCAGGGATAGCTCATATGGGAATACACGTATGAGAGCTCTGTGTATGTTTAATATACATGCATGTGGACAAGTGTCTTGACCCTGTAGCTCCTTTGCTATCCGTGTTTCTGAATACATGTGGAAGAAGGAGTGTAACTGCATGTTGTGTGTGCATGCATGCATGTGCGCCTTTACACTCGAGCAGGAATGAGAGGTGGGAGAGGAGGGTGAAGTGTGTTTGTGTGTGTGGAGGAGGAGGCGGGGGGTGTGCACGTTTAAATTCTGTGACATCTGTTCATTACAACAAGAGTGTGTTTATTTTTATACAGCCAGCCACAAGCAGAGAGCTCAACTGGCACCGCTGGTTAATGTACCAGCCCGCTACGACGGCAAAGCAAATGAAATATTTACCAGCAGACAGAAAGAATGGGGAGAGGAGCGAGGACAAAGGGAGAGAAAGAGGCAAAATGATAAGATAATATGTGACAAAAATGCGCACAGTGTCTCTACTCACGCAAGTCCCCATTCTGATCTAATTAAGGAGAGAGACACAATCAACAGCTCATAGTGTAAAGGCCTAGAAAACTGCACTCTATATGTGGTGCTGCGGAATAGAAAAGGAACAAAACCCCTCTTCTATCAGCATCCTACTGCAAATGTGCAACATCTAGTGCAAATTGGAAGCAGTGAGATATCTGTTCAAGCTATAGAGGACACTACAAAGCAACCAATATCACATAGAATAAGCCAGAAAACAACTAGAGGGGGTACAAAAGATACTTCACTATGAAGGTCACACTGTGTTTGGGGTATTTAGCAGCTTAAAATGTGTTGAGTGACTGGTTTAAGATGCCCAGATGGTCCAGAGAACATTTTAGAAGATCCTTTGTGTCCACAGCTCGTAATGGATTATGATATTTGACATCCTGGTTTGATCTTTATTTATATTTTACTGGTCATGTTTCAATTGTATTTGTGATTGGCTTCTTATTAGTGGATCAAATTGTAACTGATATTGTTTTTGTCCTTTAACTTGGCTTTTGAGCATAATATGTTTCAGTATATGTGTTAGTGTTTTAGTATGAGTATGTCTTTCATATGTGGTTGTTTGTGAGCTGTTAGTTTCCTTTTAGAAGATTTATAAAGTCATCTATCTATTGGGACAGGAAGTGTCTGGAAGTATAGTTCAGATGCTCAGTGTGCCAACTGCTGAAGCCACAGTGTTTAGTTAAGGTAAC